TAATTTGTATAAATCCATCATACCTCCGGGGATAGCTCGCTCAACATCGCGCAGAGACCCGGGCACAAACACATCGACTTCGCGTAGTGGATCCATCAGAAGAGATCTGTCAACGCGCGTGTCAATACCTAGACTACCAGAAATACTATCTCATCACGATCGTCATCATAGTGAAGAGCGTAGCAACGAGACTCGTAGTCGGGCTCATGGCTCGCGTAACGGGCAGAGAAGTGGCAGGCAGAGTAGTCACTTTTTTCAACATCATATCATACAGAACTATCCATTGTTGGGTAATTTCATCGACTCCAGTGAAATAGAAATAGAGGAATTTTGGGATTTATTGCCAGATATTTTTGGGTATGTTTTAATCGACACGGCGATTTTTTTTTTTTTTTTTGCCAATATTTATCTTCTGTTCACTTTTAGAAGTGGCATTGCGGCTAATCCGGATAACTACTTGGTTTGTGACATGTCGAGAATTCCGATGAAGAATATTTCACAAATGTGAACGACGTATTTATCAAATTATTTGCGAAATTTAGGACGAAGACGAATTTGACTCCAGCTACGAGGGTCTGATTCGACTGTGCGAACGCATCGGTGATGCAAAACCCAAAGGTGTTCCGGAGCACATTGTTGATAGTTTGCCGACGAAATTATATTCTTTGAGCAGGGGGAAGGGCCCGGAAGAAAGGTACTTTGTCTTCCATTTGATGATACTTTCACATCTGATACAACGCACACTCCTAATTAATTCATTTGCATATAGATGCACAATATGTTTGACGGAATATGAAAACAACGAACGACTCCGAGATCTGCCTTGTACTCACGATTTTCACCAGGCGTGCATCGATAGTTGGTTCAAGAACTCCGACAAATGCCCCATCTGTCGGCGCAGCGTTACGGAGAAATGAGAAATAACGAAGATCAGTGGGTCATCAAGGTGTCCGGAGAAGCATGCATGTTCCGCTTTTAACCGTTCGTCAAGATATCAATGCATTGTGTACAACTGAAGGGTGTTTGGCAAGGAGTGTTGGCTTTTGTAACCCGTATAGATGTATTTTTTTTTCTTTTACCCTTTTTTTTTTTTTTTTTTTTTTTTATAGATAATTTTTTTTTTTTTTTTGGGAGGGTGTTTTTTTTTTTTTTTTTTTTGTATTTTTTTTTAGATATCTTTTTTTTTGTATTTT